CAAGCTTCGTCAGCGCCGAGGCGAGTACCGAACCCGTGAAAAAGTCGCCTCCCAATATGAGGGCTGACATCACATCCTTAAAAATTCCGAACGAAATGAATGGCATACTACGCACCTCTCAATGGAGGCTTGGACGCAGCTTTGACGGCCTCTAATCTCGCTGAGTTGGTGCTGGTGTACGCCGTCTCCGTCGCATATGTCCCGTCAGCAAGTACCTTTGGCCGCCCGCTTCCCTCGGCCTTCTTGTCCTCCTTCTTGTCATCCTCTCCGTCATCATCGTCCAGTAAGCGCTGTTCACTTGCAAGAATAGGGATCTCGCCAAGCACTTTGCGGATGTCCTGGAATGTGGCCTGAATGTCTGACAGGTCTTCGACGTACTCGCCCAAAATCCAGAGGACGCCGCGAAAGGCTTTACCGGATTTGATCTCTGTCAAAGTTTGAGTGAGCTTGTCGCATATAGACTGCCGGAGGTGTGGGAATTTCTCGACTACTTCACTGCGGGAGTGTTAGTGAAATAAGATGCGGGGACTAGGAGGAAAAACAAACCGGACGAAGGCTACGACGTCCAGCGCAGAGGGGTTATTCGAGTCTCCAAGGAATTCCATGAGTGCATGAACAACACTTGCAGCTACCTCAGAAAACTTGACTGCTAACACATGGATCGATTGGATTAGAAGTTGCCTGTACTCCGGGGCCTATCCCAAAATTAGTTCACGGTAATGTGCAGGACTGCGAGACTGACTTTTTCGAACTCGCGCTCCTGTGTCTGCTGCAGCTGCTTCTTGAGGAAGAGAACAACTTCCTCGACGTTTCGATTCGAGGTCATGCTGAGTACGATGCTCATGGCTTTCCTTCGGACCTCCATGTCGGCGCTGATACGATAGGATTCAGTACTATTTTCAGCTAGTGATTGATCAATGTTTATACCTCGACAAGACCTGCAAGATATCCATCGTCAGTCCATCCAGAATATGACCATGCTTGGAGCGTAGGGTATCCAGGCGATCCAGGACGATTAGCTTAACGTTGTTGTCGGATTCTTTAATGACCAGATTAACAAAGCACGAGGCAGCCGCTAATTATGAGAGTGAGCATATATGTGTACAGGACCGGATTATAAACATACCTTTCACAGCAGCGGGGTTCTGCGTGAGTGTAGTGAGCGTCGTAGCAGCTTCATACTTGACTGCATGTGACGATGAATTCAACAATTCAAACATGCATCTGATGTATCGGGGCTGCAAAACGACAAAAAATGAGGCTAAACAGGGTGGCCTAAATGAAAAGGACTTACTCGATGCGTCGTGTCGTTCTTACAATCCAACCTGATGACTTCTATGATGCTCATTTGTAGAAGCTCATCTAGACTCGTTAGCTGATCATACACGCTAATCAACCACTCCACAGCTTTGGGCATCGCGCAATGCGCGAGGAACACAAATGCGTTACGCTTGCACGTCGCGTCAGACTCTGCAGCGATAAAAGTCTGCATGAGCTCGGGGGCATCTGGGATGAGGTGTTCATATTCGCGGTAGATAGTGTACACGGCGAATACGGCGTTCTTGCGGACGTAGGAATGACGATGCTCGAGACAGCTGCGGCAGGTGGGAATCAGGGGTTCGAGGAGTTCAGCATCTTTGGATATTTTTTGGAGGAAACGTAAGGTGGCGCCACGGATATATTCGTTGGGGTGTTGCTGTAGGGATATGAAGAACAGAACATCCAGAGGGCGGGAATCAGTCTTACCAAGTCGTTTCGGATGGCATTGCTAGGCAAGGTGAGTATATGTACGGTAGGAGGATAATAGATACACGTACACGACTAGAATCATCTCCTGCTTAAGCTTCCCGTTCTCGTCATACTTGGGACACACCTCCCAGTAGAAGTGAAGCAGCTTTTTGAGCTGCTTGTTTTTGGAAGGCATGATATATTGTATGATGGGCATCAAGAGCGTTGGCTGGGCCACCACCGTTGCATCAGCTCCATGCGGTCTACAGGAAAGATTGGAACATACCTGAGGGTTCCCATTAATGGTCGACACAATAATCCTGCGCAACGTGTCCAGTCTGTCTTCATCAGTACCTTTCTCGAGAGATGCCCTAAGCTCCTGCGTAGATGGGCTCTCTGTGGTATCTTCAAATACGACTGTGTAGCATGGTGCCTCTGCTGCCATTATGACCTGGACAACGCGACTGACAGTGAGCTCGAGCGTTACTTTGGACGTGTATTGATAATAGACGTGGTGGATGTTGTATAAAGGCGTGAGAAGCACCTTCCGAATATGTGTTATATGTCTGTTCCCGGTTTCGTCCTTCCTGTTCAGCACATCATTCGCTCCGCTCTTCCAGTTCACTCCAGCCTTATAACCAGTGAGTTTCGACTAATTCATCTTCCACTTCAAATAAATAATTTTGTACTAGATCACACTCATGGCATTTCTCGGTCTTCGCAAGTGGTCCACTCCTGTATGTTCCATTTCTCGTGCCACAAGTGATTTTCCGATGACCAGTCGTGTTAACAGGTGTTGAGGCCCATGGCGCCCTTCTTAGCAGCGAGCGCAATAACCTTTTACCTTGTCTCGAAGATGCAGGAGATGGGTGTTCGTTGTACGTTATGTGCTTTTTCCACTTTGACCTCGCATGAATGGGTGTTACAGCGGAGACGTACGCCAAGGATCCTAAAAACCCATACGGTGCTCAGATTGCAAAGGAGGCGCATCATTAGAAGCCAGTTTGACTTGCTTCAGGTTAATAGGCGCGTTCAATTACACCCTTTTTCGATGAGCTGACAGCTCATTTAACCCTTCATTGCAGACCCTTTAGGCACACTTAGAACCAGATATGCTTAAAATTGGAGAATCCATGGTGCAAAACACGATGTTCATTGCAAGGATTTCCCCCGTGAATATCACGCGTGATCTACAATACTCACTGAGAGAGACGACGGGCATTGTTCTGTTTACGTTTTTTGATGTTGTTTTGCTGACTGATTTCTGCCAGCATGACTCAGGGAGTTTAAGTGTGCTAAGTGCACGCTCAGTGCTTGTGAACTGGCGAATGGAACAATTACCTCGATGCCATGTTCTGAGGCAGTCGATGCACGAATACTAGCCGATAATCACGGGATGCACAACACAGTGATGGCAGTTTAGCTGCAGTTTCCATTGTGTGGCAAGCGGCCGCCCCGTCACGCCATCATAATCCAGGTAGAAATATGGATCGAAGCGGCCGAAAGGGCATTCGCATGGCTGCGTATGGGACCTGGGCTGGTCTCTCCCTTGACGCGGCTTGAGTGACGCAGAGTTGTTCCTTGCATCACTAACACCGACTCTTCCTTGTCCGTCACGAAAGCATAGACTTGTGAGACCTTTGACAGCAGACGGTATATTATAGCATCGCGGTCTAAATTGAACGTGGGTGCAGGAGCGCTCATTGTCATGATGAGTTAGACTACATCGATGTATCAAGTGTTGACTCTTACTGATCAAAGACTTGCAATTGTGGAGATGGGCGCCAATGGGCTACGAGACCATCGAGGTTATCAGTAATATAACGTTTGTACAGAAAAACAGAGACAGGTTTAGGACACCTACGGAATGGAATTATGCTACCGTCAGGTATGTATTACAGAAGCTTCAGAATTGAACATAATCTAAGGATACCGGATTCACCTACACCAGCCAATTCTCGAATTTCATTACTGTTCATCACCAAGCTTAAGAAGCTGAGTGACGGCGCCAGCTGTAATGCAACGAATACTCATTTCGTTCGTGGCTTCACGGTTTACATGTGCCTAGTATCCTGAAGTTCGTCCATTGAAGATCTGGAAGTTATTATTAGATGGATGCCACAAGAACGCAAGCACCAATATTGCAGCTGCCTACTTAGTAGTTGTTTGGATCAGAGGCTGTTGCCAAACACCCACCTGAACCCAAATTCGGGTCGAACGTTGAGCCCTAGCTAACTCGTTGCACAGTCATCGCACATGTAGAAGGTGTCGCTTGCTTTCCAGTGCAGTTCCTCATCGACTCCTTTAACGTCCCTGCTCGTGACTCATGTCAGGTCCTTCCGCAGCGACTTCGACAAAGCCACATAATCGGAACCCAACTGGGAGGAATCAATACAAGGACTGTCGTACGTGTCCGCCCTTTCCGCTCCTTATATTGTTTTAACCGTCTGCAGCCCCGAAGGATGACAATCAGGTTACGGAGCTTCTGTATGACTACCAACGGAGGGAGATATTTGATAAAAAGAAGATAAGTCAACTCCTGTATGACGAGCATGGGATTAAGCTGAGGTACGCGTGTTATGCGCTCTTCTGTACCTTTACAAGCAATGATGTACTTCAGTGAAAGCTCTGTAGCTCGCAGACGAAGAGTTTTGGGTCTCTATGCAAGTGGTGTGACCACCCGACAGCTGCCAGAGACGGTCAAACGACAGCTCGTGCTCACCCAGATTCTGAAAGATCCGGAAAAGAAGCTCGGCCCTCGGATGATCAAACAGCTGATTGCCCGTGACACCGGTATTCATCTGACAAGGTACATAAACACCAAATTACTCCTTTAATGCCGTTCTCATGAAGATAATGTAGGGATTACATCAGGGCTGAGATGATGAGACAAGACCCCGAGGGATTTGCATCTAGAGATACGTCCGTGAAGAAGACGCATACCTTGGGAATTGAAGTGATGGAGAGTCTATAATCCATACCATGACCATGTTGGCAACATGTTGATACGCGCAGGCGTTCTCGGGACCAACTTGTTTAAGTATTTCGTTCAAACCTTGTTTAATGAATGTAACCCTCGCGATCCGATCTGGTCAAGGTATTGACGGTACGGCTCAGACTTTCCGGATGTGGTTGCACTACCGCATTCGCAATAAGGAGCGTCTCTTAGCTATATCATCGTTGGGGTCCGAAATGCTGCCTGCATCACCTCACAATGATGGAGTCGAATAAGTCGTACACAGTGACTGCAAAAAAAAACGGAAATCCGATCGGGCGCGAGAACCAAGGATGTTCATGCATCACTACACCGGATCTCATGATAACCCGATCCAATGGTAGAGCACTGTGCCCTGCTCGAAAATCAGGAGAATGCGTGTTGTTCGAATGGTTGTGACCTACAGTACTGTTTTCCTTTCGGACAATCTTCCGGTTCACTAAAGCAATTAAACATTTGTTGACACGTGCCTGATTGAGATCGGGAGGTTTGACGAGTTCGACGACTGCGTGCCAGGACTTGTGAGCCAATGTATACTGCAACAAAGAAGGATTGCTCACGTCTGATACCCCGTCCATCGCTGTCCATCATGAATTCTATCACAGATTCCATGTTACGTCGGAGACCCTGGAGCGTTTATCCTTTAATAAACAGTCTCGTACCATCATCGGGTATATACGTACCGGATCACTACCCCGAAACTCAAGAGGAAGAGACATTACTATCTTCTCAAGTGAAAGCTGTAGGGATAATCAAAAATGAATAAAAGAATGCCTCATATATCAATGCTCACCGATCGGTCCTTTTTCTCCTTCGCAGTGAGCTTTGGTTTAACCTTCCTCTTAGGAATACCTGTCGATGCGGTCTTCGTAATGCTAGTAGAAGCATTCCTTGTCGTAGCATTCGTTGTGTACGTCGTTTCAAACTCTTGGTTTTCGGTCAACGTCGTCTTGTCTGCCTCTGAGTCTGGCGGCGGCGGAATGGCTGATGCTGCTTTCAGAGCAGCTTCTTCAGCCAAACGAGCGTTTTCCTCTAATGGATATGTCGCATCATCTCGAACGCACAATAATTTATTATACAACGCACCTGCTCGTTGCTTAGCCAGCCGGAAGGATGCGTCCGTTGGAGCCTAGCAGATTGACAACAAGAGATTAGTCGACGTACTCGATCATCGTGAAGGTACCAGGGCTCACCTGCGGCCAGTCCACCGTAAGCGCGTTCATGTCCATGACATATAGCCAGCTTGCGAAGCTTTCATTGAATGTCTTCAAAGAGTTGCTGAGCTTCCTTAGGCCCTCTACATTCGTTTGCAGCGCCTCGACTTCGTCGACTAGCTCTGCCATTACAGGCTCGATGAAGCCAAGGCCATGGGGCGCATCAGGATTGTTACCTGATCGTGAGAGAGCGAAGAGAGACCCTTGGGAGACACGTTTAAGAGGTGTTCTATGCGGGGTATGTCCGGGCATCGCGAGGTTAGAGAAGACTAGAGATTAGAGTCCTGTGACACGTGCTTGACGCGTCTCTAATCACGCTATTTTGATACTCCAAACAAACAGGGCACACACAGCTGAAAGTATGTAGATGCAGATCATTTTGTACGCAAGATGGAATCTGATCAATCTGAAAGTTTGGCTGGACAAGATAACAGACCTCAAATATATAGTTCCGAATATTGAAGATAGAATCGAAATCAGAAAATGGACATTTTACGATAGACTACCAACAATACTATAATCGAAAGGCTAACTCGAACGCAAAAAAAATAAACAGCGTTCAGTGCACAAAACAGCAATCAGTTTGTTTGTGCGCCCACAGCCTGGTGAAAAAGCTCCTCGTAAGCGCGTATCGAATTACCAGTAACGGAGAAACCCTTACCAGACGTTTCAGGTGCTCCATGAAGACCTGCAAGCTGACGTCGTCGGTGAAAATTGCCTGGCCAGCGCCCGCGGCTTGTGGAGTGCCATACATCGATGTCGACATGTGCGTTGTCGACGGATTGAGCTTCGATAGCAGGAATCGAGCTTGACTGCCACCCTGGTCGCAGACGATGTAACGTGGTATAGGGAAGCGATCGACCAGCAAGTCCTGTGTGGATGGCCGTCAAAGTGAGTTAGAAGTACAAAACTGAATTATCGCACCTGAGCATCGGTGACAGGGTTCTCCAACAGTTCTTTGAAGTTCTCGTATCCATCCTGATCTTGGTAACCAGCCTTCCTCCACTGGGCCACTGTTTCACCGTGGAAAATGAGAATATGGAAGAAGGTGTCGAGGAGGAGGATAGCATCAGCTTTGATAGAAACGCTGTCGAGCAAGACAGGCTGTGGCTCGACATCGAATGTATATGACATCAGAGTAGGTTGAATCATGATTAACGAGTTATTGACGTCTTCTTCGTTGAGAATATGTCTGTCATGTGACCTTCAGTATCCAAATATTGTACCGCACAGCAGAGGTTCAGACCTGTAGAATGCAGTCTCATCGGGACTATTGTTAAACACCTGTAAGAACTGACTTCTCCGGAGATGGAACATGAACTGTGGATAGATGCTGAAATTATCCGTTAGTCTAAAGCTGACAGGGTCTTCCTTCCTGTAATCTGCGAACTTCTGGCAAAGACGGATGAGCATGCGGTCGAGCCAACGTAAAACGTCTGGTGAGTCGTCTATTTCGGCCTTAAAGACTGCTATTCTTGCCATAAGTACGGCAGAGGCTTCTTGATCGAAGGAAGAAGCAATGCTGGGAGAGTTGGCTTCTGCAAAATTTCGAGCGATTGTGGTGACACGCAAACGCATCTGCCCAGACGAGTGTTGATAATGAGTGACGAATTGAATGAGACCCCTTGATCCGGGAGACAATGCCTGGCCCGCAGGAGTAACGACCTCGAAGTAAATAGCAGCAGATGTCCTAGGCGTAATGGAGTTGATTCGCCAGGCTGACGTCTGACCAATACCAATCTCTGTCTCGCCAACGCACGCAGATTTCTTTCCGGCGGAGATTGCATGTCCGATGAGGCCAGAAACTTTCAGTTCTTTGGTTGTCTAAATATATTGAAATCAAAAGGTGATGTAGAGGAGTATGTAAGATAACTTGCCTGTACGTCGAACGTCGCGTTAAAACCCATTTGCAAGAAATCCTGATCGTCCTTATTGAACATGCGCAGGAAGCTTTGCTTGAAGATCGACGTAGCAAACGAATCAGATAGGACAATGACACCGTTTGTCGAGTTGGGCAATGATTTCATCTCTAGCAAGCCCACTTGATCCAAGCAACCAGCAAACAAATCGACAGCGTGGCCATTGTTGGATACCCTCTTCGCCAGAGCCTCATAGAACTAAAAGAAAGCAAACTATGATGTCATAGTACATTGTGTCACTGATCCAGGACAAACCTTTACCGCACGTTTGTAGTGCTTGACGCTGTCCCGTTCGATGTCATGATGAGAGCGAATAGGCTCCTTGAGTTCGTTGCTGACAACCATGCCTGGACCCTCCGTTGCCGGTCCACCCGCGAAAACCATTATACGCGCGCCCGTGTTAGGGAAAGTCGTCTGAGTTATGTTGTCACCCGTACGCTCTCCTCACCACAATTGATAAACTCACCTCCAGGAGTCCAACGGCTACACTGACGGCCACACCAGTGCAGCGTAAAGCGCGCTTGTCATTGGCAACTGGCCAAGGGTCACGAGCGAGTGCCTCCAAAATGCCAGTGAGTTGAAATTCGCATTGCTGGACGGGAAGCAAGAAACGCGCAGCTCCAAAAGCTTGTTGGGGCATGGGTTGGCCGGCGCGGGGTGCGGCGCGAGTTGTCGTACTGAGTCCGAGCATGTCCTGAATCTGTTTCTGTGTGTACTCCTTGCCGCCACGGAAGACGTATGACTTGCTGCACTCTGCATAGCCCAACTCGTGAACTTGTGTCTAGTAGTTAAAGCAATGAGCTTGAATGATGAAAGAACAAATGTATGTACGTACCATTGTGCCGAACGTAATGAGACCAACTAATGCATATGGTGGGATCAAGCTGAGACTGACGACAAGAGCGTCACGGAGTGCTTTGAGGTCATCGGCATCTAGACAGGTATCGACGACAAACAGGAAGACAGGTGGAGCCTGAGCGGGACGAGATAGCGTGTACTCAATCGTCGTGTACTTGGGAAGTAGTTCAGCGGGTAGATTGGTGTTAGAGATATCCTTATAATGTGGCGGGAAAGGATTGCGGGTCAAGCAAAACGGACAAATCCACAGTTTGCCTCTGATATCGATTTGACTGTATGGCGCATCATTAGTAGAATTTCACGAAGGAAGAAAAGAGACATACCAATATGGATTGAGAATAGCACGACAAGGGGGTTTACACGTCACGGGTTCGTATAATACTGGGGGAAGATCCTCTCGCTGCTTCAATGGAGTATAGAGCGCTGATATCGGAACCACAGTCCGCGTCGCCTCTATCCGAGAAGAGGGCCATACATTCCACGAGAGACGAACACCTGAAATCAAACATAAGCCAATCGATCGATTTAAGCAAGATATCAATGAAACAAACCATCTCGCTCTTCGACATCTTCAAAATTGAGCATCTCAACGCCTCCGCACGGGTTCGAATAAAAGTTACAAGGACGCGACTGTTTTGCTAGTGAGTTGACCTGAACACGAGTACTTGCAACGTCACTCCAAAGTATAATCTATCTGTATACCAATTGGGATGTCTTTCAGGCGGAGCTTAAAGTCATCGACATCGTTCCGGCTTCGACATGAAAACTTGAAAAAGTCTAAGATGATCTCGAAAGCCTTGTGTGGGGAATCTAGCTACATGTGTGCAGCGTCTTTACTGAGATTTCTTCTCTGCGGCTGCCTCATCCGCTAGTCTCGCCTCCTCCCTTCGTCTCGCCTCTCTCCGTTCCCTACCCCGTGTAACTAATGGTTTTGGCTCGAGATCTGCAAACAGGCGTTTGCAAAGCTTCTCAATCACCCAACAACCAACAAAATCGACGATCATGACGCTGGTTAACTTCATCTTGAACTAGACGGATGAAGGATCAACGATAAGATTTTCATGCTAAAAATTGGGAAAATGACGTACCGATCCCTCCATCTCGACGATCTGTAACCATCGGTTCAACTCAGGCATGAAGTCCGTAGCTCCAGAGAATGCTACAGCACTAGCTCCGACAAGCCCCCAGTACAAGCTCGAGTTTTCGCGGATTCCCTCGCGGAAAGGGCGACCCTATGAGAGATACCGTCAATGGATCAAACCTCGGCGTCTTCTGTGAAATGAATTACCTGGAAGTTGATAGTGAATGTCGAAACCTGTTGAGAGAGACCCAGAAGGTAGATGGCAGTGTTTAAGAGACTGGGCTCGAACTTCGCCTCGAGGTCAATAACACCAGCTCTGTACAGGACTCAGCACATTGTGAGGATGAATGAGATCGAGACTTACGGCTCATGGAAATGCGACAAGTTCGTAATGTAAATGAGCGATATAATGTGGAGGGCAAACTGGAGCAGCACGGATAATAGCACATAGAGGTTGAAGATGTTGCCCAGCGGCCTCTCTCGGGAAAGTTTTTCAACCGGCTGTTGTCGAACACTCAGTATGACTACAAAAATTCAAGCAAGAACCCACCTTGGCCCGAGAGATGCAGAGAAAACAGACGGACATCAACATTCCGCTAACGGTTACCTGATAATCACCAAATTTGATGCCGTCAAGATACTGAACCGACAAGCTGTACGCAGTGATCAGGCAGTTCAGCGCCAAAATCTTGTACATCTGAATGGTAGCGACTAGAGTACAGCGACCTTGCCTGATAATGTGGGTAACTGTTCAAAGTTCAGTAGGAACCTTGCACGGTAAGTATACACAAACTCACTGGCAGCGACATGGGACAGCTTCGATGTGAATGGGGCGGCACATGAAGCGTCTCCAAGTTTGATCTGAGGTACATCCTCATCGCCTTCCATGTTGGCCATAGCATCAGTAATTGAGGCAAGGTCGAACTAGAATACGGTGAGCCAAGCGAACCCTCACAGGGATGATAAGGCTACCTTCTCCATCGGATTCTTCTTACGTGCGACTTGTAAATTCGCTGCAGCTTTTTTCTGTGCCTCAACAACATCTGGGTAGAGATGCGCAATAGCAGGAGGCACAGGTGGCGGCACCTGTCCAAACCTTGCCGACATCTTCAGCTGACTCTCGTAGACCTTCTTGATCCGCTCAACCTTCTGGTGTTCCGCTATTTTCTGGAGATCTTCGGGTGTGCCGTCAAGAAGAGCTACACCGATATGAGCCTGTTTGAGTGCACCGACGTCATTGGTGCCGTCTCCGGCCATAAGCGTAGTGTAACCAAGCGTCTTAAGACTGGTAAGGATGAATTCCTTCTGCGTGGGTGAGACACGAGCATAAACCCAGGTATTCTGTACCAAATCATTCCATGAAGGACGAGATTCGTACTGCTTCATGGCGGCACCGGTAATACAAATATCGTACTCGTCGAAAAGGCTTTGGTCCAAAGGTTGAGACGGATCCACCGGAATAATC